GCCCCCTGTTCTACAGCAATTTTTAAATTCAGAACGTTTAATTTGACCTGAGGAAAATTTTGCATTGTGACTTAACGCTTTGTTTGAGCCACCTGAGACAGAGAGGAATTTAAAAAAGAACATACTGTTTAAAAATAAATATAAAGTCATGCATGAGTGCCTCAAACATGAAAGCTTCTCTGTAAAGTTGATGCTACAGGTTCTTTATCATTATTTTTAAATGATGAGGTTTTGTAATGTGTATGTACCGCCCAAGCTACTACAATGAAGCCATCTCATTTTTCACTGTAAAACTTTCAACTATGGTTGATAACTGAGAGATGACTGCAAACAGTCTTAAAGGGAAAAAAATCTGGAAAATCTTTAGCCATGCTAAGAATGTTGTATATTGTGATATTTTCCTAATGTGGGTGTTTTTGCAACATGATACGGCATGGGTATTTCAGTCTTTTGTTAGAAAGTGTGAAGGAGAACAAAAAAATAATCCATGTCTTATGTGGTGTGATGAGTATTGCCATTAAGACAGTTGATCTGCCTTAATTTAAGAAGCCAGACTATTAATATCAACAGGTCTGTAAGTTTGACCCTCATTTTGACCCAAGTGCTGCAGGGGGTTTAAGAATAACATAATTTGAAGCTAAAACCCAAAGTAAAAATGCTTATTTTGGTTTTGAATTTTGATGTTCTGAGTACAAAAAGTTTCCAACAGGTATAATGTTTTATGTGTCACTGTATTTAATTGCTAAAAATTAATGTTGGGGTTAAATACATTGGTCAAAAAAGGTCATCACCTGGATTTAATTAAGCTAGGAGGTAAGAGCCTCCCATTGGATGGGTGATTATATTTCAGCTGACAAGTTATTTAACCCTAACTGATGCAGTGAGTAGCTTCTTATTTGTTAAACAACCATGCTGAAAGACACATCCTGTTTCAGAAGGGTCAATTTATTGGCAGCAAGCAGAGAAAACATCTAAGGAGATTGCTGAAATTACTAAAATGGGGTTAAGGATTGTCCAACCCATTGGTAAAAAGCTGGAAAGACAGTGGAGAAACATCTTTGAGGATGGAATGTGGTCGAAAAGAATCATTTGGTGAAATCTAATTGTAAAAAGACAACAGTAGAAATCAGCTATGTTTATTAATGAAAATAAAAGCACTTTCTCAAGCACAATGTGAGGGGAACTTGAGGGATTGAGACTTAACAGTTTTGTAGCTGTAACAAAACTACTTATCAGTGAGGCTAATAAAAATGGATTTAATTTGCTAGGAAGCATAAAGATTGGACTCTGGAGTGGGAGAAGGTCATCTTGTTCAAGAGTGATGGGTGCATCGGAGTAAGAAGAGAGGCAGCTGAAGAAATGCACCCATCATGCCTAGTGCCTACTGTACTATCTGTACTGTCTGGTGGTACTGCACTTGGTCTGGTCTGGTTCAGATGTGCCCAAAGAATGAAGTCAGCTAACTACCTGAATATACTGAATAACCAGGTTATTTCATCCATGGCTTGAACACGTTCAAGGATAATGATTCATCAGACTTAAAGTGTGAAAGAGTGATTCAATGAGCATGAGACATAATTTTCACATGGACCCCCCCCCACACACACACACACACACACACAAAGTTCAGACCTGAGTGAGAGTCTTTGAGATGTGCTGGAGAACAGTGGTACAAATCTCCCATCAACAATAAAAGATTTTGGCAAAAACATTAATGTAGCTCTGGACAGAAAGAGATGTTGTGACACTGCAGAAGCTCATGTAAATGATGTCAGCAAATGTATGCTGTAAACAAATCTAAATTTTAGAGTATGTGACTTTTTTTTGGCCAGGCAGAGGAAGTTAAACAGATAAATGCTAGTTATTTAAAAAAAACTAATTACTTCCACATTAATCAAAATTAGAAGTAAATCAACATGTTACATTACTATTGTTTAACAAGCCAGAGGCTCATCACTTGTTGTGAGATTTAGTTTTAAAATCTGAAAGCAGCCATTAAAAAGCTGAGTTATTTTTAGATGCTAAGACAGGAACTGATGAGGCGCTGTAATTCATGACATGAAAACGGGGGCCCCACAGAAACTCTGAAATGACACTCATTTGGACAAATCCCAATGACACTGTCAGGCTGGTTAAGAAAACAACATCGCTAAACAGGCATCAAGAAACCGAGAAGACAAGCACTGAAAAGGGAATTGTGGCACGTTACTCTCAGGGGGAAAAGGGTAATTTCTGTCTCAGCGCACCCTCTGATGTTTTGTCAGAGGCAGAACGGATGTGACTTATTCAAACAGTGGATATGTTTCATGTTGGGGCTGTGCTCTGTAAAAAAGAAAAGCCAAATTATTCATCTTTGCCCAGAGACAAGCCTTTTCTTAAGAGTCGCTCTTGTCAGTATTCGGATTTTGAGTTATTTTGCTGCTGTATGAGGTAATCGGGCACAGCACCTGGGATTGCTGCAGGCCACGGAAGCACCCAGCCTGGTAATGGTGATAGGGTGTTGTGATGGATGTCTTGCCATTTTTTGCACCTAACTTGATGACACGTGTTCAATCTTGGCCCAGTGGCACCTGTTGATGGGGCAGGATTTCATGCAACTGTGGAGCTGTGTGCACACGTGTGGATGAGAAGGAGTGGAAGGAAAAGCAAGCTATAGACAGAAAGAAAGAAAAAGCGACAGCGCCATCTGTACTTTGCAAAGGTCGGATGGCTCAGTGCCTATACAGTATGTGATCAGAATTGAATATCGCTAATTGGAATTCATCAGCATTGCCCAGAATTGCCTCAGTAAATTCAGTCATTTTTGCAGAAAATTGTCTGAGAGCACCACAGCTTGAAGGGCAACAAGAAACAAGTTTAAACAAATAAATAAATAAAAACCAGAGCCTCCACAACACAACAGAGTCTTATTGTTCCATTTGCATCAGTGTGGAATGAAAGCAAGCATGAATAGCAAGGCAGAGTAAATTTAAACGTATCACCAAACTTGACTTAAACATCCTTGAAATGTTTTAATAAATGGACATTTATGTACAGGTATACTGTATTTTCTGCTCTTCAGTTTGCTATGGATTCATGTGCTCACCTCTTGACTTAACATCAGATACAACAGCCATATATTGACTATCTCCAGGATCTCCAGGAGGCATCCTAATCAGATGCTCAAGCCACCTCAACTAACTCGTTTCGACGCAGAGGAGCGCTAGCAATGTTCACATGCACAAAGGTCTTTGATCGGATTGAAATGTATTCGGATTAAATAATCGGAATGTATCGTTTACATGGGCACAATCCGATCGTGAGTGTTTACATGCACCAGGCTTTTATTCAGAATAGAAGCACATGTGCTGAGTTGTTAAATCTCCCTAAAAAAGTAACAGAAAAAAGTTCAAACGTCTTCTGAGTCCAGAATGGACCTGCGACGTTACTGTGCTCCCTGGTTGAGCTGCAGTGACGTGCAGATTTATTTATTTATTTATTTATTTATTTATTTATTATTTTTTGGCGAAGCAGCGCAGGCTGTGTGTCTTCCTTTTTTATTTAATGAGAGAACAGGAGGAAAAGTTCTGTCTGCTGTCCCTCCCTCCACAAAAGAGCAGATACCGACGGATGCAAGTCAGCAGACATGCACAGTCAGGTCAGTTTTCCACAATCAGAATAAGATGATCGGATTAAGCGTTTACACGCACGTCGTTTGGATTATTAATCGGCATAAACCACCTCTCTCATTCTGATTACAAACTCATTTGGATCGAGCTGAATCAGATCAGACTAATCTGAATGGGGTGTTTACATGACACACTTTTATTACGAATGGCCATTTAATCCGATTACATATGTCCATGTAAACAAAGCTAATGGCTCTACTCCAAGCTCCCCCTGGATGACGGAGCTCCTCACTCTGTCCCTAAGGCTGAGCCCGGCCACCCTATGAAGGAAGATTTTTTTGGCCGCTTGTTGTATCCAGGATCTCATTCTTTTGGCCATTATCCAAGACTCATGACCATAGGTGAGGGTTGGAAAAGAGGCCAGACCAGTAAATCGAGAGCTTTGCCTTTCGACACAGCTCTTTCTTTACTGCGACCGTCTGAAGCAGCACCCTCATAGATGCAGCTGTGAAACAGATGCAAAGTAAAAAGACAAACTATTACACACAATTATGATAGCCCTTTATTGGGTCACAAAGGTTTTGAACCTGGTGGCAGCACATGGGGGTTCTGGGTGGTTCCCGGGATAGAGCAGTAGCAGCGTACCGATGATGTGGGCCTGCAAGAACTGGAGTAGCTCAACACACTGGTCTCATGCCTAGGCTACAACTGTGATCATGACAAAAACATGGAACAACCAAACACAGACATAAAACCTGTGGTGGTAGTGGTGTGATCTCCTAGTATGTACATGCATCCTGACAGGACCTGAGGTACCCTGGGTGGATGTCCATTTCTTCTGCTAAACACATCTGCATTCATGCAATAAGTTCCTCCTCAGAAAATATTTTAAGCACAGGGAGGACATCATAACAGTTTTATGTTCATCCTGACATCACCATTTGAGTCCAAATGTTGTTGAGTTATTTCTTAATAAGCTTAATCACCTTACAAACACTTTGTAGGAGAAATAAAGAAGTAAAACGATTAAGGGCTTCACAGAACTTAGTTTCAAGAACATTTTAACCCGTAAATCTCTTTCAAAACTAAACAGTGCTGACAGGCATCAGCTGATTTATACAGCTCCATTGTGAACATAACATCAGGGCTGTGTTTAATTAGGTTAATACTACATAATGCAATACAATGTTGTTCTATGATTATCAACTCATTATCTGTGACAATGACCACAATCGCAGTACTGCTGCTCTAAAACAACAGTCAGCATCAATGGAATGGTTGACTTGTTTTGTTGACAAATGGGAGGACCTAGTCGATAATAAACAGGTTGTTAAAGCTTACCTGGTGCAAGAAACCAACAAGTAACACACAAACACAAACCCACACACTAACCTTTGGGGCAGAAGTGGTGTCCACGGTGGAGGAAGTGATGGCAGTGGATGCTTCACTCACAGTGGTGCTGGAGAGCTGCTCGGCTGTGGGTTTGGACATTATGCGAGCACCCTGCGGCCTGCACACACACACACACACACACACACACACACAAACAGAGAAACACATGTAACACAGTCAATACGTAATGGTGTGCTGAGGAGATAATGAAGCAAACAAGAGTACCACCAACGGTACATAATGCACCCGTCAGTAA